TGCTGGGGTGGAGGTTGGGGTGCTGAGGGCCTGTAAGAGCTTCCAGACCCGCCCCAGGGAGTCCGTGCTGTTTCTGGGGTTCACTGAATGCCTGCTGTCTTCCTTGTCCATCTGCCACCCAGACTCTTGGTTGAGACATGCCTGTCTCCTGGGTCCTGGTTCCTGAAGGAAAGAGACACCTGCCGTCAGAGCAGAGTAATAGAGGCAGTTCTAGGGAAAGCGGCCAAGGAGGTGCGATCTCCCCTCCAGTCTTCTTGCAGATGTTGCTTTATTCACCTTTTCTTCGCAGGCCCATTGGGGCTCACTGATCTGGTAGAACGTGCCCCAGCAGTCCCCACTTACCCCTCACTTTCCATCTCCCCAGCTGCTTCTACGTTGCTGTCCCTGTCCAAGTCCACGGAGTCTTAGACTTCCTGTTTCTCCTTCCCCTTGTGAGCCAATACCTGTTTGCCTGTTCTCTGCTCTGATGGCCTCCTCCCGCCAGGGCTGGATACATCATGTGTGTGACTTCACCTGCTTATCCCCATATCCCACCGGGACAGCATCACGTGCTTGTCCTAGCTCTGAGCTGAAGATTCAGGCTGAGCTGTCACCATTGTTTTCCTTACTCGTCCTCCTGCTACCATGTCTCCAGTGCAAACTGTCTGTTGGCACTTAACCAGCCCTCCTAGAATGTGCCACTCTTTCTCCAGACTTTGGGGAAAACAAGAGACACGTACGTGGAAGAGTTCCCATCATAGGGCCAGATGGTATGACGAATACGTAACTCTCCTATTTTGTGTAACTTGAGGTCCTGTCTCTCCCAAACTTGCTTTAGATAGCCTAAGTTAATTTGGGATTTGCTTGGACTTTGTGGCAGAGTAATTGAAGTGGCTGAAGAGTACCAGGGTCCTCAGTGCTGAGTGTTGTAGTGTCTACCACACACTGTGTCCTGTTGTCTTGTGAGCAAGTCTGTTGGCCAGGTGCTGTACTGAGGCACTGGTCGGTAATTGTCCATCTCATTCATGCTTTATAATAACCCCGTAACGTGAGAAAAAACCATCATTATCCCCATTCTGGGGATGAGGAAACTCAACTCAGGTTCTGACTTGAGGATCTGGACTCTGGAGTCCAAGATCTTAACCATTACCCCGTTTCTGTCAGGGGCATAATACTCTTATGATACCCTTCACGGTATAATAGACGCTCTTAATCTTGGCCACTATTATTACATGGTCCGAAGAAACCTTGCTTAAAACTCTAATTACAAAACTAATTAGATGTCTAATCCTTCATGACATTTTAATGTGAAGGCTCAGTCTTGTGAGGCAAAGGGATTTAGGATATGGTGCCAGACTTTACCCGCAGAGTACAAAGAACACGGACATTGGAGCCCCATGGACCTTGATTCCTGGCTCTGCCTCTGCTGCTGTGTGATCTTAAGTGCGTGTCTGAATTTCTGGAAGCCTCAGTTTCTCAGGTGTAGAGCGTAGATTTAATGTCTGCTTCAAAAAACAGATGTTTTAGTTAACTGGTTGTTTATGTGAAACAGAGCTCTTTTACCTTCTTTGTTGTACTTCATCAGGCCATTAAGAAAATTTCAAAGCATAGATTATGATAAAATCCCCATACAGATTAATATTGGTTAAGTTTTTCTTTAGATGAAAGAGCCACTCGTTAACATCATGTCCGTGAAAAGTCAGCAAAGCAGCATTGACATGAGCCTTTGCCCTTGTCCCATTTACATGTCTCTTTAATTGGTGGAGCATAATTAAACAAGAAATATTTAAATGCCCTCCATCCTGAAGCAGTTTCAGCTCAGGAACAGGTTAAATGATTTAAGCAGGAATTAATGTGTTAAATAGGTTGTATGAAGTGTAGTGTTTAAATTCTCTATTAATGTGTGTGTGTGTGTGTGAGAGAGAGAGAGAGAGAGAGAGAGAGAAATTAGAAAGTTGAGTAGTTAAGATTGCTTTGTGGGGAGAGGAATGGAAAGGGAAAACCAGAATCAAGTTCATGGTGTCAGAGGAGAAAAGACCTTTGGTGGTTAGATGGAGAAATGAAAGAAATTCAGCCCAGACAGAGCCTTTCCTCTTCTGTCTTGCTCCCAGCACTGTGTATTGGCTCATCATTGTAAATCAGTCCTAAAATAGGCAGTGGCACCTGAAGCCAGTTCCAACCTTCCTGGATAGCAGACTACATCAAGATGCTTGTAGAAGTGAAAATACCCTTTCTCTGTCCCCAGTGCTTGGGTCTGGCAGGGAAGTTTAGATGGTCAACCCAGTTGTTCCAAAATGTTGTTTGCAAATCGCTGTTTGGCTGAGGAATATTGTGTCTCAGGCATTGTCTCACCTGTCCCCATAGAGAGATCTGTGAGTCTGGGTACAGCCTTAGGTGTCTGGGCATCTCAGTTTGGATCTTCTGGAGATCAGTAGTTCGGTGCACAGTTGGGGGTTCTATTTTGACATTGGTTTCCTGGGTAAGAGCTCCTATAATCAGTTCCTTTATGGAACTCCAACCATTGAACCATCTTGAGAGAGACCTAAGAGGTTACTAGCCTACATGGCATTCTTTTCTACATTCTGCATGAAAAGGGGGTAGTATTGAAGAGTAACTGGGGTCTAGATTCAGAGAGCCTGGGTGTAAAGCCCCGCTTGATCTCTGACTCGCTCTTCCCATCTATATCATAAGGGTGGTAAGAATGTCAGCCTAGGAGATGGGTTGAATTTATTAAAGAAAATGAAGCACTTTAATGTTTAATACAATTTCTGGCACCTGGTAAGCAGCCAATAAATGTTAGCTGTTACATTGTCAATGCACTCTAATAAGATTTCTTTGTTTTTCTTTCATTTGTAGAATAAGTGCTTATCACACAGTAGGCTTAAAACTAGTCTTTTGAAAAACCCTGTTGTGTGTTCTCTACCGTACATCCTTTGAGATTCCCAGACTAGAGCCATCTGCCTTGGATTACTGGGTAACCGCAGTTTCCATCATTAATTACGAAAGCCAGCAATGCAAGATATGTGTGATAGCTCAGTCAAATTCCAATGTATTTCTAACTTTTTCACCCCTCTAAGATAGCAAAGCAAGACATGGACTTAGCAGGATCTTGCTTTTCCGAGGCAGAGAGATATAAACGATTTCAGTTTGTGAATCCTCACATCGACATTTCACAACTCTCCGGTTGATCCCCAATGTTTATTCTGTTATGGCAGTGACAGTTGTTGGCGGTTAACTTGGGTAGATCAAATTAATTAGATCAGTACCATTGACAGAGAGGTGCTCTAGATGGATGTGCTAGGGATTGGAAATATTTTTTTGCAAAATATTTTGGAAAATTAGTTTGTTATTATAGAGGCTTTTCTGTTTTTGGTTAGGTACAGCAGCTTGATGGAGACTCGTTTGCTATTATATAAAACACTGTATTTTATATATCAAGTGAGCGAGCTGACGGAAGTGTTTTATTGCATTGTTCTTAGAGGACACCTAGTTCTTTCATTAAAAACTGTCTTTTTCTTCTTCTTTTTTTTAATGTTTATTTATTTTTGAGAAAGAGAGACAGAGTGGGAGCAGGGGAGGGGCAGAGAGACAGGGAGACAGAATCCAAAGCAGGCTCCGGGCTCCCAGCTTTTGGCACAGGCTGAACTCAAGAACCCCGAGATCATGACCTGAGCCAACGTAGACGCTTAACTGACAGAGCCACCCAGGCGCCCCTAAAAATGGCCTTTTTCTAATGAAAAATGGTCATTTTTGTTTTTACAGGATTTTAAAAATTGATAGGCTTAGGTAACGGTTTTGAAATTTTGAAAAATTCTAGTATTGTAAATTCAGTGCACTAACTAGGCATGAGAAATGGTTGTGGTTACTCAGAGCTTTAAGCATGTAGGTACTTTTATTTATTGAGGCCCGTTAACCACACACACATATGTATGTATATTTTTTTCCTTTTGGTTCTGTTGGCCACATTTCTGCTGCCCAAATACAGAAATGTGTATTTTGTCATAAGCCATTGCAAGTTTTTTTTTTTTAAAGCTTCTAACGAAGTATTTCATTATCTTAAAAAATGCAGCATTTAAATAATACCACGTTTAAACAGAAAACGTGAGTGACACATTTCCAAGTCTCTCTCGGTCCCCACGTGTAAAGTTTGGTGTACCGTTCGAAGAATGGGAAACATTTCAGAGGTGTCTCAGCGAGGTTCATGTTGATGTCGCTGCCCGTTTAGTGACAGTGCACACCTAACATTAAATTTACTTTTATTCATCTGTTACTGGAGGATTTCCGCTAAGGTGCCCTGGCATCCCTGTCCCGTCCAGCTGGTCACCAGTGCCTGGAAGACCTGCCTGGGTGACTGCTGCTGCTTTGATTTAAAGGGGTTCACGGCGACCAGCCTCCACTGAACAGAGTGTTTTCTGTTAGCCATCTCGGCATCTCCTGTGGGCTGGACAGTAATTACTTTGTGGAATTGTCCCCTCCCCCTTTGAGTCAGATGCAGGATTTTTCTGTTTCTTCCACACGTTCACCGTCTCCCTTCGCTCGGACTGCTGTGTCTCTCAAACACAGATGACCATTGACAGGCTGTACAGGCGCTCAGACTTCTGAGAGCATTGCTACTTGAACCTCTCATGACAAAACATGAATGGCGCTGTTGAGAATGGTTGAGAAACAAACAGAAAGTTGCTGTCTAGACAGCTGGCGTGCAGTGGGCTCGTCAAAGGAGAGATGCGTTTGCAGACCAAGGAGTCATTGATAGACAGTGTTCAGGAGGCACGTCTGGACATCGCCAGACATTCTTATGCGAGCATTGCAAGGCTGGGTGAGATCTAGAAATGTCCGTGACCTCCTCAACACAAGACACAGGTTCAGCTTGGGCCCTAAAACTTTTCTTACGTAAAGTATCCAAGAGACAGAGGATTTTTAGTGATGACTTAAGAGCCCATGAGTCTGCTTAGGTAGAAAGAAAATGGCTACCGTTTATTCCCTGTTTGTAAATAAAACTTGAACTCCTCTGTTCCCTACAGGGTGAAGAAACCAAAAGTCTGACTCTTGTCCTACATCGAGACTCCGGCTCCCTGGGATTCAATATTATTGGTGGCCGGCCTTGCGTGGTATGTTAATTACTAAAACGTGTTTTTCCTTTCCCTGCTGCAGCGGGAAGAAGGCTCAAGGTTTGGGGAGTGAGGAGTAGAAACCTTGCTCACCTCATTCTGCTCTGTGTAATTAGAGAGTTCATTGTTTATCTAACATCTTTATCCTCTGGAGTTTTTATTTAGTTGTCTCCTAAAATAGCATTGTCCTAGTACTACAACAGCTTATCTAAACCGTTTAGGTTTTGAGGGGACATGTCTGGTTGGGTGGCAGTTGAGCTGAAGAACGTGGTGTGAGATGTATGCAGTTGGAAGAGAGTAACTGAGCTGGACCGTGGACCCCGTGCCTGGAAGTCTGGTCTGGAGCTCTGCTCTGTCTGCTCTTCATTGGTCGGGCGATTCCCTCATTTGTAGATGATTGCATCCCATTGCTTTCCCTCCCACTACAGCTCTTTGCTCACCCCCTTCCCCGTCAGCTCCTCCTCCAGAAAGAAGAGGTCAGATTCAGATCAGTAGGTTTAACTGGGAGGAAAATGGCCAGTGAAACAGCTCTGGGGACCAGACGTGGCAAAAGGCGCGTTGCAGGATCTCACCTTTCATGTGGGGTTATCTGGATGTGGATCATCTCCTGCTCATTTCTTCTGCTGACCATTTCCTCATTTATTATCCTGAAAGGAAAATAGTCAAAGGGAAGGAAAATAGATTTCACTCCTTCAACAAATAAGTATTGAACAGGGGCTGTTTGGTAGGAGCTGGAATACACTGTGGAGGCCAGGGAGACTTGAGTCCCTGGGGTCATGGAGTTTGTGTCCTGGTGGGGACATCAGGCGAGAAAGAAGTAAAGATAACAGTTACAGACTGGGGGACATGTGATGCAGGAAAAAAAAATGGGAGCATGGCAAACGTTAGAGACCAAGCAGCAAGGGCTGTCACTGGCCAGGAAAGAGAGGAGAAGATACTCAGCTGAATCCTGAAGGACAAGGAGATGCTAGGCATCCGTATGTGGCTACACTCCGTGCCTGGGTCTGGCGTGCCCTTGGGGAGGAGGTATTATCCTGGGGCATGGCCATTTGTGCCGCATTCTGAAGGATGAGTAGGAATTTGCTAGATCAGAGGCCCATATATACTGTATTTAGTTGAGTACTCTTAACTCAAAAAAAAAATTGAGCTTATTTAGTTAGCTCTTTATTCTACGTGGCTTAGAAAAGTTTCATGCAAAAGGAAGCATTTTATTTTATTTTTTTAAAATGTTTTATTTATTTCTGAGAGAGAGAGAGAGACAGTGTGAGCAAGGGAGGGTCAGAGAGAGAGGGAGATACAGAATCTGAAACAGGCTTCAGGCTCTGAGCTAGCTATCAGCACAGAGCCCGACGTGGGGCTCACACCCATGAACCATGAGATCATGACCTGAGCCGAAGTCGGACGCTTAACCGACTGAGCCACCCAGGTGCCCCAAAAGGAAGCATTTTAAAAGACAAAATTAAAATGTGAGAATGAATCACATTTGTCACATGTTCTTTCATTGTTCCAATGCACTGCTTTGCATGAGCCCATCTTTTTTTTCTCTTGTTAGTTTTTTTTAATAGTTTATTGTCAAGTTGGTTTCCGTATAACATGCACTCATCCCCACAAGTGCCCTTCTCCATGCCCATCACCCCACTTCCCCTCCCCCCACCCCCATCTTTGAAGACGACTGAACTAGAGGAAAGTGAGCAGGCCCGGGGAAGCCCTTGCAAAGCTTAGAAGAAGGTCGGAGTTGGCATGTGGGGGAACTGGAAAGAGTCAGCATGGCTAGAATTGAGGAGTGGGCAGGAAGTGGTCAGAAAGAGACTGGGAGAAGACGGGGGAAGTTAGCATGAGAATTTAGGATTGAGTTACCTTTGCTTTTGGCCAAAGCCACAGTTTCAAAAAGAAAACACACAGGGCTAATTGTAAGAAATGACAGCTTACTTACAGGTGATATATAACCATTAAATGCCGGACTGACAAATTGTCTGCTCTGTAAAACCTGTAAAAAAAGCCCGCTTTAGACCATGAGATTGAACTGTGAGAATGAAGGGGGGTGGGGGCAGGAGCTCTGGCGGGCTGAGCTCCAGAGGTGGGCATACACCGTAGCGTTTGTCTCCTTGTCTCGGTGACATTCTTAAGGATGTCCCAGGGAGCAACAGATCCGTGTTCCCCAGCTTGTTTTAGAACATGTTTTCATCTCCTGCTTAGTGTGAATAACGAAGACTGTCCTTGGCTTGGCTTCATAAATAACGATTTCTCCTGTCCCCCCCCCACTGTTACTAGTTTTAAGAAATGACTTCAACAAACGAAGGTGCACCTCACCGTTAGATGTTTCAGAAACTTCTGCACCTGAAAGAGCCTAAACCAGCAAGGTCTGTTCTCTGCCTTACCAAAACAGGAGCCCAAACTTTGCAAAGTGCTTGATGTGGAGAGGCATGCCTGGGTCTTGATGGTTGGAGGACTGGCTCTGTGAAAGGCTGTGAAGATGAGATTTATTTTCTGTTCCTCCTGGGGAAGAAAGGCCACTCCCAGCCTCATTGGAATATGGTTCTTTCTTGTGCTTATCAAAGTACGGTACATGTTTTAGGTACCTTTTACTTTTCTTTCTCCTTTAAAATGCTGGTTGAAGTGAAAGCCAGAGTGAATTCTGTAGCATTCGAAAGTGTTCTTAGTTCATGTGGTCTTTTTGCAAGAACTACGTGCATGTCCCCCTGGAGGGAAGTTTCATTCCACATGCATGTGGTTACAATAGTGTGTTTTAAAGACTTGTCCTGATTAGCAGAAAGAGCATAATGAACTCTAAATGTATGCTGAACTGTTGCCTGGAAATCTGGCAGGTCATTGAGAACACGCTAAAAAGCCAAGATGAGCAACAATGCACACTCATTGTTAGTAACTGGAGGTAGAAGGCAGCACGCATGACGTGTGTGTTTCCCAAGGAATTCTTGTGCTGGATGCTTGGTTGGGTTGTGACATAAGCCCGGGGGAGGGGGGTTCTGACACCAGGCTTTTCCTTGCCTGACGCACTGGTCCTCGCAAAGTCACAGCATTCATTCATTCATTCATTCCTTTATCCCTTCAGTAGCAGTAGCCAGTCTGGTGTGTCAGACCTGTCACTTCAGCCTTTGGCAAGTATGCCTCATTGTCAGGTACCCCTGGGATGCAGAAAGTCCCTTTTATTTTTCCTTTTCTCAAGCCAGCAAAACAAAACAAATCCTGAGCCATGTTAGTTCACCTTGAGAAATAGCCCTGACTTAAAATGGATTAGCAGAGACGCCTAACAAACAAAGAATCGAGAGATGCCTTTGAAGAGACACCCGTAGCTATCCAGGATGGGATTGCTTTGGTTTTCTTGGATTTTGACCTTTCTATAATTATTATTATTATTATTATTTTGCATTCTTTCCCCACCTCCTACCACTGTCTTAATTTAACCTGATTGTGCCGTTTGCTTTTACATGTTCCTCTCTGCCTTTGCTTGAACTTCCTGATTCTCCTGAGAAAAATTATTTGTGTACAAAGTAGTATTCTGCAAAACAAACCAAAGTCAGAATCCCATCCCTCCTCCCCCATCCCTCTCTTCCTCTTCAGCCAAGAAATGCAAAGCAATGAATTCAGAGTAAGTGCAGATCTGTTTTCATTGAATATATTGACATCACCTCTTAGGGAACTCCAGATTGCCCACGAATCCATAAATCCTTTGTGGTCCGTTGAGATTCTTCAGGTTTCTCCAGTGGAATATTCCATAGCTTGGAATGTGGAACTTCCAAATGAATGCTTCTTTTTGAGATGTCTCTCTGTAGGAGGCAGTATTGCACTTAGAGCTTGTGAAGGGAATTAAACTGTCTTTAGTTTTGAAACTGACCTGTGCTACTTTTTAGCTGTGTGACCACTGATAAGTTACTGAATCTCTCTGTCTCAGTTTTTCCTCTGTGAAATGGAGAATAATAGAGCACTTAGCGTTTGTGGCTATTATGAGGGTGAAACAGTGGACACAGGGTACTCCCTACCAGCCTGGTATCTAGTATGTAGTCAGTAAGTAGAAGCTGTTGCACAACTGTACTTAAAAGTGACGTATGCACATAGGAAGATATGTGAATATGCTCAGATTATTGCATTAGTAAGGTGGCTGTGAGAGAGAAAGGAGGCAGGGAGAAGTCCAGACAGCGAAGGGTTAGTCTGCGGTGGGCCCGTGCAGGGTGTTGTGATGCTGGGCAGGGCTGCCTTTTGAGGATGGCTGATTTAGCACAGCACCCACAGTCTCGCTGACCCTTCTCTCTTGGAAGAGTGTTGATAGAATCCAGATGTCAGTTTAGAGACCTATCTTTGTCACAGGGGGATAAATGTGGGGGAAAACACTTAATGCTCATTTTAGGGTGTGATTTTGGTATCTTTCAAATCCTGCTTATAACCTTGTAGGGCATGTGTGTGTGTTGGAGAGAAAGGGGTGAGGACGGAGGGAGAGATAGAAGAGGTACAGGGTGTGCATTTTCTTATTCTCAACCATTGCTCTTGGACTTGAAGCAGTCACTTGAACCACATTAAATAAAGTCCTCCCTTTCTCCCTTCAGAGTATGTTTTTTTTTTCCTGTTTAAAGAGAAAAATTGTATATTTTCTTTACTTTTTAACAAATGGTATTTATGTGTATTTCTGTATCCAGAAATTGCTTTTAAAATAGATCTTCTAGTGGCATTATGGCAACTCCAGAATTCTGGAGTTTTTGTGGAAGATCCTGAAATTACTTTTCAAATGCTTTTGTTTGGAAACAACACATGCTTATGCCATTTAACTTACAAATCCATCTGTTAATCACTAGAAATTTAATCCACACGCTTGGAGAGAATTCATCCCAGTGCTGTTTGGAAAGAAGTTCATGAACAAGCTGTGAGGGTTTTTCTTTTCTTTTTTTTTTTTTATGAGCTTGTTGGAGCTTTTTGATTTTAAATAAAGGAAGGAGTTTGAGCAGCGAGCCGTCCCCTTTTCCCAGAAAGTTTCAGTCCAGACTGTGAAAGAAGATCTAAAGGGATTTGAGATTGGAGATGAGAATTTATGAGGATTGGGGTGCTGGTGGTGAGCTTTTCTAATGTAAATCAGAGTACACATAAAACACCTATTTGCACAATCAGATTGTTGGGTAGTCAAAGTTTTAATAGACCTCTGTGCTGGTGAGGATATGGAAAAACAGTCTGATGAGCTCTGAGTGCGTAATTTGGCATTATCTGTCAAATCGATACATCCTTGGACCACCAATTCCATTGTTAGGAGTCTGCCCCAGATACCTGCTGCAAAAGATATTTCATTGTACAGGTTGGAAGGAGGTATTAGAAACATCATTGTCTCTGAGAGTGACAGCTGGAAACAGTGCTTACTATCTCAATTACCGGGATACTGTTCCGCTGTCGAAGGGAGTGAGGTAGACCGTAAGACTGGCGGAAAGTCAGATTTGTAAGGCTAAGTGAAGAGGCAGGGTGCACAAGAATGGAGAGAGCACACTCCTGTTTCGCATGAGCAAGAAACATATGCGTTGAGGAAAGGTGCTCTATGAAAAATGTTTTCGAAAGGCTACGTAAGGTGCAAACGGATGCTCTAAAGGGGAAAAACGACAATGGGTAGGAGGTGGCAGGCACTTAGACCTTCTGGTATGTTTTGAAACATTGTACCATGTGCATGTGTTAATTTTAGATTAAAACAGAAATTAGGGGTAACAGGTGAGCTTTCACTCCAGGACCACTTCGGGCATAAGCTAGAGTCCATCATAGTTGAAGAGTGTAAGCTTTAACCACGTTAATGCCTAGCATTCATGTGTGTGTTTTTTTAACCCAAAGGACAACCAGGATGGATCATCGAGTGAAGGAATCTTTGTATCCAAAATAGTTGACAGTGGGCCCGCAGCCAAGGATGGAGGCCTGCAAATTCATGACAGGATTATTGAGGTATGTGAACGCTGGCCAGTGTCTTTTAATAGGCTGAATGACATCCCATCTTCGTCCGGTTCGGTGCAAGATGTTTGGTCGGGGAGGGAGGCCTGAACCCTTCCGATGGTCGGGCGAGAGAGCTCTCCCCTCGTGTGGGACTACACATACCGTTGATTGCCTTGGTGTCAAGTTTTTGTTTATATTAAATATAGAGAAGCCATATCATGAGTGGCATGTTCACAGTTTGGCTCTCTTCCTTTAGCCTTGCATCTGTTTTGTAGACTTCAGTTACAGCTTTGTGCGAGGGCCGTTGGAGAGTTGTCCGTTAGTTAGAACCAGATGAGCAGCCCCGTTGTGCGCATTGTGTTGGTGTTCACGTTGGTTCCCAGGGTAAGGTGGGGGCAGCGTTGGGGGCTTGCTCACATCTTCCCAGCTCGCGGCACACAGTTACTGCTGCAAACGCACCATTCTGTCTTCTGGGTTGGTTTGTTGCCGGTTTAATTCAGTTCTTCATGGAGCGTTTTAAGGTTTTATAGAGCAGGTTTGTGGATTTCCTCTGGGGGAGGTAGGTGTCTCGCCCCACAGTCCAGCACACTGGCATAGGGTCACACAGATGTCCTCGGACGCCCCAGGTTGCCCAAAGGGAGAGAGTTATTCATTGCCTCCTTGTATGGGCTCTTGGTGCAAAGTTGGATACAAATGACTGTTTTTCCGCTGCTGTTTTTTGACCATGTTGATTGCTCTTTTAATGGTAAATACATGGACCAGTGGGTGGGTCTCCTGTGAGAAAGAACTTAAATGGGAGAATCCAAGATGATACGTTGAGTCCCACAAGAAAGTCACCATGGGCCATGGCCACGTAACACGGCACGTTGAACGGGGAACTGGGAAAACAGCACTGTTGGTATTCCAAATACATTGGCATAGCATCTGTATTTGTTGACTATTTTCATGGTCCGTTTCAAAACTTTGGGCTGAGAGGGAACTCTTAACTATGAGATAAGCCATGAGTGAGGTTAATGTAACCCACTGGAATTTGGCCACATGCTTCTCCCCAGGGAAAGGAGCCTTGGGAAGACAGAACAAAGTCTGGCTTTTCCATTCTTGTTTGAATGAATTCCACCATGTGCGAAGCAGCACACTTCTGGATCATTTATGTCCTCAGGAAAACATTCATTTAAACATCACCGGGAAAACAAACTCAACACGTTTGGGTCTAAGAGTAAACTTTGGTGCGGGAGCGGGTACGTCGTGGTAACTTACATATTAAAGGAATACTTGATTTTGTTTTAAGGGCAGTATTAATACTGTTACATCCCCGTTGACTTTTTGAAGGGCTCTTTCTTAACCTTGGAACTCTTTTTACTGCTTGTTTTAGGGTCAGTCTTTGTACTTCCCAGGTCAGGGGAGTGGATTTTCCCTAAGAGGAATTTGCTTGGGCAAGAGTACTTTCTCAAGAGCTCAAAGACATACTTACTGTCTTTTTTTTTTTTTTTCTCCTCTGAGAGAGAGAAAGAATACATTTTCTGAGGCTATTGTTCAGAAAGATAAGTACAGCTTCCGTTGCCAAGGGTTTGATGGACCGGCCAGTTTCTCTAAGTAATGGAATTTCATTGCTCTTATGTTTTGCAAATGAGAAATCTACAGCTGGGTGGGATTTTCTCTTGGCAAAGGGGGGATCTGTATTTGAAATGTTGAGGATGGTTTCTGGTAAGTCGCATTCCCCTGTTGGACAGTATGTAAAATATTAATCATGTCCCAGTGTTGAGATGGAAAGAAGGGTGGTTGCAGTAGAGACAATATATGTCTCTACTGCAATATATGTGTCATTGCAGTTGACGCAGTGTGCCCCTCTCTGTTAAATCCTGATCTCCTTTGACGTGCTACGGTGATTCCCATGCCTGAAAAATGTGTGCCCTGGTTCACCTCATCACTGTCGGAGTCGATTACCGGGTACGGATTTGATTATTTTAAGCGTGCCTGTGTTTCATCACGAAGGAGAGTCAGGCGCTTTATTCTTTTCTACCATATTTCTTCCTTTTCAGGGGAGTGGGCGATCTACCACCAGACCTTCACCATAAGAACTGTATTTGTCACGAAAGGGTGCTTCTGTTAAATCCACGGAGACTCAGTGAGTCTGGGGCTTTACTGCCAAGTCTACAGGGCATCCTCTCTTCCTGCTGCTGTCTGCTCCCTGAGACCAATGCCAGGCCCCCTCCCTTCAGTTTTCTCATAACAAATAGTTTTTCAGTGCCACCAATACCATCACGAAATGAAATTTATAAGGAAAATACAAGGAGACACCCCTAACTGTAAGGTCTCTATATACTGTAACAGACCGCTGAAAAAGAAGATAACTGATCATAAAGCACGTGTATCGGTGTATGTGTGTGGGGGCACGGTGACTTTGGGAGCACCGTGATGCTGCCCGATGCTTGTGCCTCCTGGTAGACCCACCGTGATGTTCCAGCTGGAAGGGCTGCCAGAGCAGGAGGGCCGTGCTGGGGACCCAGGCGCTGTGAGCCCCGTCGCCGTCCGTGGCCGAATTTTCTGCGGCGAACAGGCTGTGGTTAAGTTCCCGGCACAACAGAGTCCGGTCTTCTTGTGATTGGCACACTCTGGTGTTTGTGTGTGTGGATGTGTATTTTTAAAACTGTGCCAAAATAAATCTAACCCAAAGTTGGTCATTTAACCATTTTTTGTTAGACCTTTCTGTGACATTTACACTCCCGTGCAGCCACCACCGCCGTCTGTCTCCAGAACTTTTTCATCTTCTTTCAGTGAAACGGTCCCCGTGAAAGAACTCCATACACTTTCTACCCCCAGCTCCTGGCAACCACCGTTGTGTATTCTGTTTCTATGCATTTGACTGCTGTAGGTACTCCGTGTGAGTAGAGTCACACAGTATTTGTCCTTCTGAGTCTGGCTCATTTCACCTAGCATGATTCACCCTCCAGGGCCATCCCTCTTGTAAGATGCATCAGAATTGCCTCCTTCTTAGGGCTCTGCTGCATTTTGTGCATCTCTCTGTCCATTGATGGACACTTGGTTTGCTCCCACTTTTTGTCCATTGTCAGTCATGCTGCTATGAACAAGGGGGTAGGATTGGCATATAGTAAAACTGAAAAAAAAAAAAAAAAAACCCTTTAGTGTTTAAATGTAAAACAGAGTTAGGCCCTCCACTCAATTATAAAACACTTGTTATTTTACCTTCACAAATGTCTGGCAGGATTTGTGCCAGTGTCTTTGGAAGCTTAATGTGCCTTGCATGGGACCCTGTGCATTGTATGATTTGTAGCATCCCTGGCCCCCACCCCAATCCTTGACTGACCCCACAGATTTCCAGCACTGCCTCAGGGGATGATCGGGGTACCTAGGGGAGTCACTGGAGTAGGATTTATTTTACACCAAAACCTTATGCTGTGAATGTGCCCCTCTGCTAGCCTGACTGCCGGGGTTTCCTGTCTGGGGGCCTATAAGGCCTGAGAAGAAAAAGGCCTTAGCTGACCCATCCTGGGGCTGGAAGTCTTGGGCCCCCTCTGATCAAGTGTCCTCCCAGCCCCCACATGGCTACAGTTTTGGAGCCTGGCTGATCCAGAAGCCCGCACTTGTGTCTCTCCTCTCTGCCCTGGATTGGGACAGACAGACCGTTGTGCCCACCCTTACTCACATCTGACACTGAGATACAGCAAGTTCCAACGTACTCAGTATTTCCTTCTGATTCTGTGTGTGTGTGTGCACATGCGTGTGTGTGCTTTTTTTCTCCCTGTATGTACTTAGGGAGCTGCCCCAGACCCTTGTCATAACTTGTGACCTCACCTTTCATTGCATATAGTCAAATTTAGAAAACTAAATTTAATTTCTCCACAGTACCTTTTGTAATCCCTCTAAACCCTAAATACCCCAGTGGTCTAAGTTTTTCTGTCTCCGAGCCTAGCCTGCTTTATGAACTCCACTTTGAAGACAACACAGCGCTCACAACGCTATACCCCAGTCCCATCACTTTCTTAAAGGAACGTGGCGTTTGTTCTTCATGACAGTTTGAAACCTTTGGAAAAAATCTGCCCAGCTCCAGCTGAGTGTGAGTCAACCAACGTAAGTAGATTCCGTCACAAATAGAATGCTTTTTTCTGTGACCTCTATCTAGTGTCTGCTCTGGACCACCAGTCACATTCTGCCCAGTTCTACTGTAAGTGATTTGGAGAAACCAAAAGGTGAAAAATCATATACGGTTGATATTACCCTCAAACATCCCTGGAGGGTGTCCCACATTGGGAGCATCTGTCTCTCCCCAAGTCCAGCCAGCCGATTTCCCTAGCATTGGAGCATCTGGCTCTTCCCTCAGTTGACTACCATATGAGGTATTTGACTTGCTTTGCAAATACCTCACTGGGTGAAGAGCTCATGCCAAGAAAAGCACAGAAAAACCAAATCCTCCTAGAAACCTAGCAAATTCACTTGGAGGCACGTGCTATCAGTATATTAGTTCCTTGGTTCAGTTTTCTTTTTTTAGCTACATGTCCAGCATGGCAAGTACTTAGCCACATGATGCAATTCCAAAGCAACGCTTAAACCACTTGTAGAGGACAACCGTATTTATTTATATAATTTTTTTGGTGCCAGGTTTCAGGTTTCTTAAGTTGGAGAACTGAGCTCATGGCTGCATGGTGCGAGTCTCCCATTTAGTAGCGAGTGCGCCTATGTGACAGTCGTCGGGTTAAGGCAGTGTCCTGTTGTCTTGCAGATGTGGTGGAGTGCAGCGAAAGTGGGGGGTTACCCGGAGCCGTGATTTTATACAGTCGTCTGTAAATACGTGTTCCCGTTGAAAGCATGAGGATTCGAAGACCCATGGTTGTGGTCATGGAGGCTGTGAAACTTCTGCGGCTCTTGTGTAAACCAGTCCCTCAGTTTTGTTGGCTGCAGGTTCGCTTAGCCTGTCATGGCCACTAAGGCTGGGTTGCAGGACTGACCAGAAAGCTTTAACAATACCTTCCCTTCTGGAGCCAGACTTTGCTAGG